GAAAACTGGTTTGAACACACATTCTGATGGTTAAAAAAATGATACCAGAATATAATATAAAATCTTGATTCCATTGAGATGCCCAGCCCAGCAGTATCACCAAAGTGAAGCAAGGATGGAATGGCCCTTGGACATCAAACATCTTTAGGTAGGTAATTGTGAAATGTAATTAATGCCCATAGCTTTTTGAGAGGAGTCTGAAAAAAGTCTGTTCTTTGACCAGACAGGCAGATTTAAGGGGAAAATTAAACACTGCTGTCTACTCAAAATTAGAGTTGGTAGGAAGCGGTTTTTGTCACTCTTCAATGGCCTGAGTTAGTCATGGATTTCTGTGTGAAATAAAGGACTGTTCTGCTCTTAGAGCCAGAGTTCTGTCTTGAAAAGCTCATCTAAAATAAACTTTGCTTCCTTGATTCAGGAATAATCTTTTTTTTTCTTTTTTTTTTTTTCTTTTCCTTTGCAGCCTTGCCTCAGTGGGTAGCTGTTCTTTTGGTAATGATTAGGGAATTTTGGGATAATTTTGCAATAGAGTGCGGGTCTCTGATGAGGTAATAAATGAAGTCTTTTGTTACTAAAGTAATGTGTGAGTCATAAGTGCTTTTTTTATGATTATGCTTGCGTCAAAACACATCATGACAGCACTTGTTCACTGTACTCCCCCCTACTGTTTTAATTGTAAGGAATAGTAAAATGCCAAGTGCTGTATGTTTGGCTCTAAGCAGTTTTGTTTGGTTTGCTGATAGCTTTTTATTTAGCACTGGATAATACTATTATAACTTCAGTGTTTCCGTATGAACTTTTGCATCCCTATGAGTACCCCACAACCGAGGGTGAAATGCCAGGCACTTCTGTAACTAGCTAACTTGGTAATAAAGGATATAGTGGTTTTGGTTTGTCTACTTCAGCTCAGCTATGATTGTAAATCATATGCTTTATGAAAAGTTTTTGAATGGTATTTACTGTTGTGGTGAAAGTTTGAGCTTGCATATTTGGTAATAGGAAACCATCGTTAAATGCAGTTATCTGGAAGGAAGAAGAAATGATGATTGATTTTTACTTTCCTGTTGCAAGTGTTTTGTTTCTGTTTTTTAAACAGGAAACTATTGTATTATACAGTTATGTATGCTCTGTTGGGAGTTGGAATAGCTATTTGAAATTTGGCAAAGATAGAGGCACACAATCTTTTGGACAAATTTTAATTTGTTTTTATAATTTAGGACAAAATTTAAGGGTAGAGATCGCACAGCCTGACTCTACATACAGCTTTTGTGTACAGAGATGCTAAATACCCGAAAATGCAGTGTTTCCATAGGCGGAGTTTCTTTTGTATTCACAGGCTGGGGAGCCTCAAATTCCAGAGGCATTACATGAGCAGTTTTAATGAATTAGTGTCTGGTTTTCCTGCAGCAGATGTGACAAGCAGCTTTATAAGCTGCTTCCCATCGATCGCTGTTTTCCAGTTCTTTTGTGTCCTTCTTTTGCTTAGAGAAAAGCAACGAAGAGCTTGGTTTCTACAGTAACTGCTGCCTACATTCTTGCCTGCGGGCCAATTTCTTTCTCGGTTCCTGCAGCCTGTGCAGAGCTACTGTATTGAATTTCTTTAGGTTTTGGTTTGGTTGTTTGTGTTTGGTTTTGTTTCTTTTTTTCCTTCTTGCTGGTTTAAATATTTTACCCTTTAAGAAGAGAGGAGAATGCAGGGGAAATTTGTGATTTTCAGATATGTATTTTTAATTAACCACAGCAGATTTCCATGACTGTAGGATAACCTAAATGTTTTTGCTGCTGATCGATACCAATGTTTGTGTGGTTGGTACATAAAGAAAGTGAAATGTTTGACTGCTAAACCAAGAACCTTTGAAAATTTGTAACACTTCCGTTAATGCTTGTTTCTGTAGGATAATAATGCAGGGGAGGGGTGAGACCAGCTTTAAGACGTTAACAGAACCATCTACATTTGCAGCAAAATTTGCTGTAGTTGAACAACTTCAGGACACATCTTTTTCAGCCTTGACTCTTAAAATGCCCTTAGAGAAATTGTTGTGAAAAATGCATTTTTTCTTACGAAGTTAGCTTTCTAAGTGGGAAAGAAGAATTAAACACTATTTCAGACAAGAACATGTGTTTATTACTCAGTTTGTATTTGCTGCTAGTGGTTCAGGACTGTTCCTGTTGTCGTCATCAATAATCTGTTGTCATAGGATCATTTTCTGATGCAGACAGGCTTGTTCTAGATCCTTCTGAAAACAGGTTAGCACCATTCCTGTAATGAATACTAACAACTTTACATACTACTTAGGCACTTGCTAAAACATGAGTGGGGAAGTATGTAACATAGGCTTCCTGTCGGAGAGCCATTAGTTTACAACTAGATCGTATTTCCAGCCTTTGCTTAGAATTTGGTAAAAGCGTTTTGTTGGCCAACTTGAATTAACATGAAGCTACAGCAGTGCTTCATCACTTCTGATGATGCATAGGTCTTTGCTTTTGAATCTTAAGACATCTGAGTGTATGGATAGATCAGTGATCTTTTTCTTTAGGGTGGGTTTTTTCATACTGCTTTATGTCACTGTGTAGACAGTGATGGTACACCCAAAAAAACACACAAATATTTCTGAAAAGCGTGCCCAGTACATAGAATAAAAAGTCTAATTGCTGGCTTAAAAATCTGAGGGTGTGTTGTTCCTTACAGTATTAGAGGTCGAGCTTACTATAGAGCCCTCACATTTTCTGTTTATGGAGGACATGCTTTGCAACTATTGATCTCTGGTCAACAGAAATCAATTGCAAAGGATACAGAGAATTAAGGGAAACACACATGAGGTCATGATTCACTCCCCAGAGGAAAAAGCTGCCACTTTTTAAAGGGCAGTTGCTTTTTGGGTAACCTCTAGAAGTGTCCCGACTGGTAGTGGCCAAACATAATTGAATGTAAATTTATGGTAAATTAGCCAAGTCAAGACTTAGTGTAAAATGGAGGAGGAGGATTCCATCCTAACACAATGTGTATGTGTATTTGTAGGAAGTGGTGCTGTGTTCCTGCTGGGGTAGTTTCTCGCATTGCTGCACAGGGTGTGGTCAACTGCAAGCAGAAGAGCATTAAAAACTTCCTTTATAAAAAGCTAGTAGAGGAGTTGGGCTTTATGTTTCTTTAATATAAATTTTAAAGTACATTTTTTTGATTCCTACTCCCCCTCCCCCCCATCGATAGACAAAAGTGGATACTCCTTCTATTACCAACAACATAGACAGTTTTACAAATGTAATGTTAAAGCTAAAATTTCTGATAGGAGCACAAGGTTATACCTCATGTAGATGAACAAGCAGCTATATAAAAAATTGCCCATCAAGAAAGTTCTCTCTGTTTCAGATGGTAAGAAAATAATTATAATCTGATTAGTATTAGAATATATTGGATCACCTTTTTTCAGTGTATCCATTATAAAATTTCCTATGCTGTTAGCATTTTTCTTATTATGAGTAAGTTTTACAGCAGCACTTTTTTATGTAATCCTAGAAAAGACTTTGTAAAACAAATCTCTGAACAGTTACTTGTGTTTAAATTAGAGTCAAGGAGATTCTTGCTACAAAAAATTGTGTCCTTTTGTTTCTAATAACCTATACTTTATTAGTAATCATTTAGTGCTGGGAGTTTTCAGGCAGCTATTTAATATTATGACTGTTTGGATGGATTTATATGTCTACCTTCATTATTAGTTTGGAAACCCAGATTTTTAACTGTTGGGTATTTTAAGATTATCTTAAAATTTTGACTCTGCTTTGAAGCAGCTCAGTTATTGAGTTTTGGTTTTGTTGATTCTGTTTAGGTCTAAAGATGATGATTCTATTCTGGAAATGGACTGCAGTATTGACTTGCAGTTCAATTAAACACAGCCCAAAGTCTTAAAAATAAATTCTGGATGTGAATAATTTAGTATGCCTGCTCTTGGTGTTGAACAATCAGAAACCTTTTGGTATAAAATTCAGAAGAGGAAGTTAGAAATGTAATTATGTTTCTTTTGGAAAAGGGTAGGCCGAGTGAAGCAGCCACTTTCTCCTTGGTATGGGAATTGTTGCTTTTCTCCAAGTTAACAGAAGTTACTTCTTTCAGGTATCTCCAAGACATGGAGTTGCATCTCTTCTTACAGGTTTCCTCGTGTTTTGTGTGTGTGTTTGATCTGTGAGTGGAACCAAGCTCAGCTTTTTCTTTAGAGATGCACCTTTTTCTCAGGACATGAAGGCACAATACACAGACTTTGCAAAGGCTGAAATTATATCTAATTGTACTTCAACTTCTTGAGATTTTTTTTTACCTCCATAGTATTTCTAGTTGTTTTTGTAAAGCCTCATCTTTTAAGTGTTGCTTATTTAAAAATTGGTTAAAAACAATAGCTAGATCTAGTTTAACTTATAATTAATTTTCTAATAATCCGTTGTGATGAAATCAATAATAAATGAAGCAGCAAATGGAGAAAAGATGAAATTGTAGTCCTTGTTTTTTCATACTGAAATTTACCCATTAACAGGAAGTCATACAAACGGTAATTTTCAAGTACCGTGTTCTTACGGATGCTTGAATGCCACCCAGTTTTGACATGCTGGTCTTCTATTTAATTTACAGATGTTACATAGAACGACACAGCGAAAGTGGTACCCTTGCATGGCTTTCTGACCTTGTAGAATTGGGGTCAGTGCTGTTGTTCATCAGTGACGTGGGATATGGGACAGAGAGTACCCGTTGTGGATCGTGGATAATGCCCATTTGGGGATGGGGAATGGTTAATATGCTGGAGGGCAGGGCTGTCATCTAGAGGGACGCTGACAAGCTGGAGGAACAGACTGATGGAAACCTTGTGAAGTTCAGCAAAGACAAATGTAAAATCCTGTGTCTGGGGTGGGTAGGGGCCGGGAATGACAGACTGGGGAGCAGCTCTGCAGGGGAGGACTGGGAGGCCCTGCGGGAGAAGAGATTGTATGCGTTTCAGCAGTGCACTCTTGTGACGATGGCGGCTGGCCTTGTACTGGGTGGTAACGGTGTCTGGTTTTGGGCCCCCCATACAAACAAAACTGATGACAAACTGGAGGGGTGAGGGGAGGGCTGCTGAGATGCTTAGGGAACTGGCACATATGGCATATGAGGAGAGGCTAAAGGACCTTGATAACACCCCCGGCCCCCGCCAAGAGAAGCCCGGTGGTGGATCTAATTGCAGTCTTCCCCTGCCTAAAGGGTGGTTATAGAAAAGATGGAGCCAGGCTGTGCCGAGAGGCTCACAGTCTGAGGATGAGCAGCGGTAGCAAGTTGCAACCAAGGAATTATACCTGGACAAATGAGAAAAACCCTTCACTGTTAAGTGGCTAATTACAGGAATGAATTGCCCAACTCTGTCCTTGGAAGGCTTCAAAATTTGATTAGACAAGGCCCTGAGCAACCTGGTCTAACTTCCAAGTTAGCTCTTCTTTGAGCTGGAGATTGGGCTAGCAACCTTCAGAGGTCCCTTCCAAACTCAATTTCTCTGTGGTTCTATCCAAATGATGTAAAAAAACAATTTTTGCTTGACTTTTAAAATACAATTGAATCAAAAGTGGGCCTGGAAACGTGCACTGTAGTAATCTTACTGGTGACTTAAGCTTCAAAGTGTGCATATCTTCTACCAGAAGTATAAATAAATTAATTGGCCGTGAGGATCATTTTTACTGGAGTGATGGGGAAAGACCATAAGTAGGTAGGTAAGAGGAATTAGAAAAGGGATTACTTTCAAATTTCCCTTCCATGGAAGGGAGGACGTCTAGAAGTACTGTAATTTCCATCTTTTTTTGTTATTTCACTGATCAAAATAGGGGAGGAGAAGGAAGTACAAATAATGTCATCTTTGGTTTTCTCTGACAGTACAGCAGGCTAAGTTGAAAAAGGTTTGTTTAGTGGTCCAGGTGTTGTTAATTACCTCAGTTTCTCTTTGAGGCAAGTTACGCTGTTGCCCATGCTTGCATTTAAAGTATTTGAAGTCAAAAATAGACAAAAGCAATCTCCCAGATGATCCCTGGGTTCTTTTTTGTGGGTCTTGCCTTTTTAATGTAAAAAGTTGAAGCTCTCCTTGGCTCTCAGTAAATCAACAAGAGTTTGAAAACTCTCCCCTGTTGTTATTTTAAAATGTTTAAAATGTAGGGGGATCCTTAAGTTAACTGGTGTTCAGTGTCAGTGTAAAAGAATTGAACTCGACAGTTGTAACTACCCTGACTTAGGGGGTTATTAGTGCCAAACCCGTATAATCTATTTGAATGTAAAATCTGGAGGTGCTGATAAAAGAACAGTAGGATAGCAGCTTCTGTCTAATTTCTGTCCTGGTTCTTAAAAGACAATTAAACCGGAATAATTCAAAGAATACTGAGGCACTCAGTGTCATGGCAGGGTTTACGTACAGGGAGGAGATTGAATTCCTACTTCTATGTTTTGGCTCCCCAGATGGCGACAGGATGGAATTCCTCATTTTCAATTAGGTGGTATTTTCATATAGGCAGAATTACAAGTGTATAATTAGCTTTTCCCTGCAGTACAGACAGAACCACTGAGGGGAAGTCAGAAAATATTAGAAACACAGATATGACAAAACTAGACTTCGCACGTTTTCCCGCAAGACACATACCTGGCACCCTACAAAGTTGCTAAACTCTTTAGAGGTAGCGCCTAGATTAGCACATCTCTGTTTTGCTGGGAGCTGTAGAGATAGTAAGAGTTTCCTAGGGAATAGTTTGAAATTATTTGATGCTTCTTGTCTGTTTTCCAGTAGTCAACCCAGAATGAACTTTTTAAAAAAAAAAAAAAAAGAATAATTAGGATCATGAGTCACATTTTGCTTGTGACGCATGTGCTGCAGTTTCCTAGATCGCACACCGTGTGTCCTCCTGTATGTTGCTCTGTAGGAAGCACAATGCAAGTACTTGTCATAATCAGTAAACATGCAGAATTATTGACGTGTGGATACTGTGAATAGTTGTTTGAAATACATAAAATACAACACTGGCACGCCAGCTAAATAGTGCAATTTGTTTTCATCACTTCAGATACCTAATACACCTTTCATCATAGAACTGTTTAAACATGGATGTTTTGTAAACATTTGTTTTTAGGAATCTGTTGGATCAATCTTGGTGGCTCTGTTTCATTTCCTACTCCGAATGGCATCACCCTATGAAGGAAGAATGATAGTTGAGTAGATGAGGTATTAGAGTGACAGCTTGCAAAACTACTCTTCCCCCCCCCCCCATTTTTTTTAAGTGGGTTGTGTAGAGGAGTTTCTTCTATAGCAAGCGTCCTGTGGTAGCACATCATGAAACTATTGTAAACACTTTAAACGGTGAGTAAAATCAAATCCAGCTTGCTGCAGACTAAATGTTTGATCAGATCTCTCCCTCTGGGTGTGCTGTGGTTTTTGTTTAGTTCATTGTATAACTAAAGAATATGCCAAAACCAACTTGATTCTGATCAAATTAGAACATGTTCCTTACTTTGATTTTGGAAGTAAATGTAATATGTTTGTGTTAATGCAATTTAATCAGAAAATCTGTTGGTTCATACACATTCTTTCGTCTGCTTTCTGGCTGAATTCCAGCTATAAAAAATATGCTTCTATTAAAAAACCTCTGTTTACAAATATTCAATCAATTGACAGATGTGGTCTTTTGATAATATTCGGGTGTTTGTATGTTCTAACCAATAGGGATTTGTAAGTATATTGTGTCTTCTTTAATAACGCCATCCTTTCAAGTTCAGCATGTGAAATGTTGTAAACTGTAACAGTAACACCTTTAGGTTTAATGTAGTTCCTGACTATAAGTTCCAAGTTTGTTTGGCACATTTATAACCTATACAGTACCTTTGATTAGTCAAAGCTCCTGGTTTGGGGGGCATGTTTTGTTTTTTTTCTGAACTTGAGCGACATTTGAGAGCACCATGTCTCTGCTATACTTTGGAATCTGTGCTTTAGTCTTATCCGAGTAAGCTGCCCTTGCTTTTTTTGCAAAAGATGCCCACAGGGCAGATAATGCCTTAAGGTAGTGCAGTAGTGTAAGAAGGGAGATGTTTTAATATGCATGCTTACATGGAATATTGGAGGAATTGTCAAGTATACATTTTATGTATTTCCGTATTTCTGGTACTTGTGCCTATGTTGCGAAGATCTACCTGCCCCCCATCCTTACCCCACCCCAGCGCTGTAGGACTCTGGTTGCTCATTATTATGTACTAGGCTTTTTTACTAGGCAGTAAGAAGTCTAACCAGTGAATGAGCATTTAAAGCTGTGTCTAGTTGTTCCCGCGTTTTTCTTAAGTTGAAATAAGTTTGGTCTCAAAAGCATTAAGTTAAATTTGCAAGTATGGAATAGCCTCATAAAATATATAGAGCAGGTGACTAGAATTTAAACCTGTCTCTGGGTCAAATATATTGTTGTTCACTTTCTCACAGGGATTTTTATTTAATCTTTAGCAAAAAGGATGCCTTTGGCTACCCTCTTTGCATACACTTGAGGAGTAGTGTTGTCATTATTGCTGATTAACTGAAATGTTTAGAAAACATTTTTATTAGCAAAAGAGCTGAGACCTCTTTCAATTGTCACTAAAACAATGTAGGCAAAAAATACTTTCTACTGGGAAAAGCAAAGAAATAAGTTGTTACTGAAGCTACTGGAAAAAAAAAAAAACAACCAAAACCCACAACCCAGAAACTGGTCCATTTAACTTTCTTGCTGAAATGCATGTGCAGTTTTTTGGCATAGATTCTGTTCCTAATTTAGTACATTGAGCATGTTTCAGAAATAGGTCGTCTGTTAAATTCGGACATGGTCCATACTGAGAAGTAAGATTGAGAGAAAAGGAAGGTCATTGTTGATTCTTTCTCTTTTTTCTGATTCTTGGGTGTGTATTGTAGGAAAAAAGAATCACTGCGGTGCATGTGGCAAGAAACATAGTGAAAATCAAATGCTGTCTTTGTTCTATAAATATCCTTAGAATAATTTTAAGAAATAAAAACCGAAACACATGAGAGTTAGTGTTTTTAAGGCTACTCCACAGCTGAGTGTTCCTTCCAATTCTTACATCACTTTTATGTTTAATATATTTTTCCAGAGAAATGGTTACTTTTGTATGTACACAGTCTGTATCTGTCTCCACACAGTCTGTGTCTTGCATTCATAGCTATGTTTCTTAGGCCTGTTCCAGCATGCTGTTGCTCCCTTTCTTTATTAAACTAGAACTACCTAGAATCACTTAACACCAAAAAAAAAAAAAAAAATAAAAAAAAATAAATCTTCTAAGGTTTGTTTCTGGGTATTGTGTTGTTGGAAAGTGCTTTTCATCATGTGGAAGAGGTGTGTAAATATAATTGCAGGTTTAGTGCCGAGTGTAGTCTGACAGCTTAAGAAAGAGGAGATTGTAAAGTTATTTGAACTGTATTTTTATGGGTGCTTTTGTTGAGAGAAAATTAAGTTTGTTGTTTGCTCAATCTGTTTATTTACTGAGAAGTTATAGATAGCCTGTTGTGTTTAATTGGGTTAACTTCTAAATGCTATATATAGAGATGTAGAAAGGAAAATGCTCAAAGGTGCATTCATGTATTTTGTTTTCCAAATTTTTAAACAATTGCACATTGTTAATTTGTCATTAGTCTTTAAATTTGGGCACGCAATCTTTGGTAATTTACGAAAATAGGCAATTTATTGAAATTGGCTCTTAAATTCAGCTCTGAAAAAAGATATTTGAATGTTGTACTACAACAGCAATATGCTCTGTAAATGATCAGAATTAGGATTGGTATGTGTTTAGCAAGTATTTTAAGAGAAAATAAACCAAATCTTTTAGTTAGACCAGTCTATGAAACTGAGTAGACTTCAACTTGGCCAACATTTATGCTCCTGATTAATTTTGATATCATGGACCTACTTGTTCATTTGCCAAAGCCGTTCTTTGGCATTATAAAATAATAGCCTTTTGTCTTCAAAATAGTACTTCTTTTAGGGATAGTTGCAAGGTCAGGATGAACCTCAAGAAATTTAGAGAGAACACATAAACTGCCCTTGTTACAAAGAATTGCATTTGCTTATATTGCTGTCCAAATTTTAAAGTTGCTTACTTGGGGATCTTTTTCTGGTTACATTGATCTTTCTGTAAAATTAAGGTGGTTACAGGTAATTACATAAGATACTGTACCTCTTTATTTTTAAATAAGGTTAGATGACACGTGCAAGTTATGCAGAAAATCTTACATTCTGTAAACAAGTGGCTTATATATTTGTGTTTTACTTTTCAGCTGTACTTTCAGGTTTCCCAGCACAAACATCAAGATAACATTCACAGCTCTGTCCAATGAAAAGAGAGAAAAACAGGAGGCCCCGGAGTCCCCAGTGAAGCCTGTGCAACCCCAGATCTCTCCCTTAACAATAAACATTCCAGACAACATGGCTCACCTGATCAGCCCTCTCCCTTCTCCCACAGGAACTATCAGGTATTTAAACCCTGCAGATTGGATATAGGGCAATGTATGGTTGCAGACTTCAGACAACTTTCTAATTAATTTTGAGTATTTTGCTTTTGTGGTAAAAGCTTAGTTGAAGCTCAGCCATTACCCGCCTTGGAGAAAACCACCATTCTGCTAACTAATAAGATAGTTGCATGAACAGCCTTTAATATTCAAATTTAACATGTGAAATGTGTTAGCAGTTTGCTCGGGAGCCAGGCATTCTTAGAACAGTAAAGGAGTGTATCTTTTTCTTGCATTCCAGATGATTTAGATTGCTTTTTACTCTTGCATGCTTCTGGCAACACTTTAAATGAGATAAGTCTAAATTATACCGTTTTTAAATATTTTGGCAGTCATTGTCCCCCTGAAGTTTATCATCAGAAAAAATGTTTTTTGGTTATCATTAGTGTGGCAAATAGACTGATCTCTTACTCCAGAAGATTTGTTATTGATTAGTTATTGCTGGAAGTAAACAGACGGTTTACTTAAAATACAGTGTAAGATGTGTAGTTTAGTGTGGGGAAGTCTTCTGCAGGGGAGGTTAATCTGGGATTTTTACTTGCTGTGCTGCTTAATTTTGTAATTGTAGCCATTGTCCAACTTGTTATTTGGGACCAAACTCAATTAAACATAAGTGAGCTATCCTCACAAACTGGTAAAATTAGTTTAGATACAATTTTTAAAATTAATAGGAAGTTCAGGAGCAAAAATTTCACTTAAAGGTACTGAAAGCTGTGTTTCAAAGTCACATAAATGCTTTTGAAAGTTTTTTATTCTTCCCCTCTCACTTCCTGTATCTTCACTTGAGTGAAGGACTGTTAATGCTCAGTTTTTAAAAATGCAGATCTTGTTAATGAAATTTGAATGTACGGATAATTGACTTCTTTCATGCTTGCCAAGATCTTGATCTCAATATTGTAGTGTTCAATGAGAACTATATAAATGGTGGAAGTAGAGAGAAAAGAGATCTAGACTTGACTGTATAACAGGTTTGCTTTCTTATTAAAATTCAGGGAAAACATCTTGCTCAAGAAATGACAGAACAGCTCATAAATATTTCAGATAATATCACATATATCACCACAGTCTTTGCCTCACTATGAATTTTGTAATTCCCTTCAGGGCTTTCATGCACCTGTGGAGTATAGTTTATTACAAAAAAAAAAGAAGAGGACGACAGTTTTGAGTCTATTTTGAGAGCGAAGCTTGACAGTTTCTCTTCAAATCATCCTGTTTTGTAGAAGACTTGTAAACTTGCTTTGATTATACCATATGTGTCGCTTTGTCAATATATGCTAAAGTGAGCACAGTAGAGGGATGTTGTCAGTTGATATGTAAAAACATTAGAACAGCGGTGACCTATATTTAAAAAAATAAATTAGATACATGTTTTGGCTCTAATCAAGGATTCTTCCATACAACACTTACACAAGGGAGACTGGATTTTTTATCACTAGTAGCAAATCCTTGGTGGATTTCTTGTGACGTGAAACTTGAAGAATACTTTTTTTTTATATATATTGCCCAATCTACAGTGCCTGCCTCGTTTCTGTACATAAAAAGGGAGGTAGCAAAAAACTTGAGGGGCCAGGCAGACAAACAAAACTTGGCTGATGTAAATTTGTTAAAGCTTTATTGTATATATCTTAATAATATTCTTTAGCTTTATTTGTTGCTCGATGTTTTGAACCAGAGATGCAAGTTAGGTTAAAGACTGTCTTTGGAGATAAGGCTGGTTCTGGGTGCACAGCAGGCTTTGTCATTCTAACGCTTCGTTAACTTGTTTTGAATTTCCGAGGACTGTGTTGAAATCAGTTATAGTATGAATTGCTGAGAAGTATGCATCCTTGTAGAGAACTGCCAACATTTTTTGGGGGGGAAGGGGACAGACATCACCCACTGACTGTGTCTTTCCTGTTGGCTAAATGGAAATTGTAGAAGAAAACTGGCTTTGTGCACCTGTGGTTCCTGTGGACTGTGCAAGGCAGGGGGACAACCATTAGAGAGACGTTACAGTCAAATAATATGTAATTTTATCTTTGTTTTTCTGTGATGGATAGCAAAATGTGAGGTATCAAGATCCACTTCTTTCATTTGTTTGGCACTATCTTTTGCTTTGTAGCAGCGTATCTGCCCTGTTGGCCTAATACTGCGTTAAATTAGATGAGTCAGTGCTGATGCATCCCATTTATAGATAAGTTTATGATTTTTATACATACATATCTGTGTATGTATGTGCACATACCTGTAAACACTTAAAATAACGTTGTTTTAGATTTAAATGAGAATCAAAAACTTTTTTTTTCCTCACTGCTCGCTATATTTTCTCAAATACGCAAAAATAATGCACAGGAGAGATGATCTTTTTTGAGCAGACTGAATACAAGCATATGGCAGAAATTTCATGCAAGATGTGTTTCTTGTTTAAAATGACTGTCTTAAAATTTGTGGTTGCCTATGCAGGTAAAGTGGACTTTTCTGTTGGCAAACGTTACACAAATACAATACAACCTAGTAAATCGGTTAATCCTTTTTCCTTTGAGGAGGATAGCCTGAGCTTCATTTGACAGGCTTCTTCCTGCAGTGATTTTAATTCCCATGGACGAGTTAGAAAGGCTGGAAGATGGGGTTTATAATGGAAGTACTGACAGGCCCTTAACTGTAGTCTAGAAGCTCTGGTAGTGGGCTCTTCTGCAATAAGAGCTTTTTGATCAGACATAATGTGGTGGTATACTGTATAACAAAATAGTAGGATCTTCTTTTTATGCTCTACAGTGCTGCAAATTCCTGCCCATCTAGCCCCCGTGGTGCAGGCTCTTCAGGGTACAAAATGAGTCGTGTAATACCATCTGACCTACATTTAATGGCTGACAATTCACAGTCAGAAAATGACAAGGAAGCATCGGGTGGAGATAGCCCAAAGGTAAGCATTATTTGAAATCAAACCCATAAATTACATCTTAAATGAATGTAAGGCTTCTGAAATTTTGTTTGCTAAAGTATATGCGCTAAGTCGTAATTTAACATTACACACTTAAAAAAAAAATTGTAGGTTTTTGTGATTAGATGTAAGATTTATTTTGACTTCTCTTCCCTTTGGTGGAGGGTCTGTCTGTATTTTCAGTTATATATCTGTTTATAGGCTTTTGAAAACTCTTTACTGTTGTACGTTTCTCCAAATTTTTAATGCTATGTTAAAATCTCCTAATCAGAAGAGCAAAATTGTCTTAGTTTCTTTTCTGTCTCAAGATTTTGGTCATCCGAAAGTGCCTTAAATCAAATTAATTGTCTTTTGTAACTTTTAATTTAGAAAGGAGGGTATATATCTTTAAAGTTTATTCATGCAGACTTTTCTTTTTCTTGGACAGGACGACTCTAAGCCACCTTACTCCTATGCACAGTTAATAGTACAAGCAATTACAATGGCACCTGACAAGCAGCTTACACTAAATGGAATTTATACGCACATAACTAAAAATTACCCATACTACAGGACAGCAGACAAGGGCTGGCAGGTAAATTTGATTTCTGGAAATTTTTTTTTTTTTTAGTTTTGAGTAATAATGGCAGCTATAAATGATCGTATAAGAAGTCAATTGGTGAGCCTAACAACCCTTCCTAAATAGAATTTGTCAAATGTATGTGGTGTCTTTTTCCTGATTTTACGTTCTCCAACAAAGTAGGCAATTTACATTATTCTGTATTTGAAACACTGCTTTATTCATTGAATGCTATTCTCTAAATCTCTGGTAGGGACATATACAGACTTTTGAGGAAGAAAAGTACAACTGGCGCTGTGGATTTGAATATACGTATGCTATCTAGGAATGTAGTTGTGTTCTGTAACTTATGACTGTGTAAACATCCATATTGTTATCTTGAGATAAAATTAAGATATTAAATGTTACAAGTTCAGTTTTATTTGAAAACAATTATATTGACCATATAGTACAGGGAAGGAGCAAGTGTGTGCTATCTGTCATTATCTTGCACTATTACGTGCCCTCTCTTATTTGTGCAAGGTAGTCTATTTGTGAACTTAATTGTTTCTGTACTGAGTTAGACCAAATCCTTCAATTCTGTAGAATTAGTTTCTGCTTTCTTTTCATTTTTAAAGAGACCAACCTCGGCATTTGCCAGGATGACTAACCGAGTATGAATCAGTCTGGCATAGTCTTTCCAGATACGCGTAAAGGTTCAATGCCTTTGCTGCTGTTTTTAGTTTCGGTAAAGGACAGAAGAGCGCAATTAGCAGGACTGGCCAGTTTGCCCGTGTAACATTCAGACTGCACTGTCGATCATGGAGTATCAATTTCACTGTGTTGCTGCTTAGTACAGTCATGATCTGCAGCAGAGGCATGCTCTGAAGTTATTTTCAGGGAAGTAAAATTTGGAGAGACTGGGGGAGGGGAAAAGTGAGGAAATGTTAATACTCTAGTCGCTGTACAAGTAGAAGACTAAAGAATACATGCCTTCTCAGTAGAGGAATAGATTTTTAAACATTAATCACATACTTATTTGTCATAGGGCCTATATGAAAGCTGAATCACTCTTGGAGGAGTTCCAAGGTTACTGGGGAGTGTGACTGTTCCCAGCTTTTTGCTATGGTTTGGCTAGTAAAGGACTTAGCTGTTGTTGTGGCTAGGAAGTCTCTAAGAATTTTGTTTCCCTTTCACACATAAGCAGTGCAGAATCCTGGCTGCAGTCATACTAACAGATCTGTTTTAGCAACAAAATTCTGTTTATAAATTGTTGGTGTGCTTTTTGCTTCCTATTCTGAAATACCTTGAATATCTGTGTGTGTATGGCTTCTTTATGTAAGCATCATGGAACCAAACATGCGCATACATTGTAACGCATGGTTAAAGAATTCTGCCTTAGGACGGTGTATGTATTTGGATGTATAATACCTCACAAACCCACGGTGATAGACAGCAGACAGTATGTTCTGGAATAATCAACTAGCACCTATTCATAAAAACAATTGGAAAAGTTGAAAATTAGATGCTGTTCAGTCACTAGTCATATAAAGCACTACTATAGCACTAACAGGTGTACCTCATGTATGAATAGCTCTGCTAGTTTTTATCCATCAGGTATTAGATTACAGTTAGGGTGACTTGTATGATAGATGTTTTAAATAATATTTGATGCTATATATGCACATATTATTCAAAATGTGGAGTACATACATGTGTATAGCATCCAAATCCTATACCTTAATAAGTAGTATTGAGGTATTTATATCCTTTATTATATAAAGGTCTCATTTTGTTAAGGACTTGAAGATTCTTCTTCATGAGCTTATTTTAGCAGGTACTCTTGGACCTACTCTTTTATTCTAGCATATGGAGAAATAAATACAATTTATAAACATGTTCTTGGCATCTTTCTAGTTCTGTTTCAATTTTTGGCAGGGAAAACCATTTCTGGTTTCATCAGTTTGCATTTAAGAAACCATACATGGTTATAATTGCTTTAAGTTTTCCAAACTTGCCATCAGGGTCATGAACTCAGACATTTGAGCAGGATTTGCATTTGATTTTGCAAATTTTTAAGAGCTTTTGTTAATGTAAAGCTTTTTCTCCATTTTTCGCCTATTCCCGCACAAGTATGCTCATCTTTATTTTCTTCTTGTTCAGTAATAATATTTAGAGAGATTTTGGGTTTATATATCTTTAAAAAAAAAAAAAGTTAGCAGTTTTGTACATCTCTCTGATCGAAGAGTTCTGTGTGTTACAGCAAAGTGAGGATAAAGTAACGTGCGAGCTGGTTTAGGACCTACTGCCATTTGTTGTTTTTCTAGACACACTAAATCCTTGGCTCCTTTGTTGAGACAGACTGGACTGTGGGTGAACTCCCAACAATCTAGCTGCATTTGGAACTTGTGTAGTTTAACTTTTTCTTTCTGTATTGTGAAACAGCAACAGGATTATCATGTAAGATCAGCATCAGTATATGCTGTATTTTGCTGGCCCTCCTAGAATGAACTGACACTTTCTTTGACACGTGGGGGAAGGGTGGTATATGAAGACTGATAATTTTTTTTTTTTTTTTTTTTACACTGCATTATGCTCAAGTATTTGTAGTGTTCTAACAGTTTGTTGCAGTCACCGTGTTTCTCATTGGAGAATTAAATGGGATTCCTGTTCTTGCTGCATTAGCGTACTGTTTTTTTAATTGTTGGGAAAGATTTGAAAAATGCAAGAGTCCTTTCAGGTTTATGGCACTGCCTTTGTAGTGCTCTGAGTTCTGTTGAATTAAGGAATTAAAGAGCTGAACCCTGAGCCTCCTGTAGTACGAACTGCTGTAGTAGGCCACATTCTGACTTGGAAAAGTTATATGAATTCTACATATTTTTTTATGTTCCATAGAATTCAATACGTCACAATCTCTCTCTGAATCGTTATTTCATCAAAGTACCACGTTCCCAGGAAGAACCAGGCAAAGGCTCATTCTGGAGGATAGACCCTGCCTCTGAAAGCAAATTAATAGAGCAGGCTTTTAGGAAAAGGCGGCCTAGGGGAGTACCTTGCTTTAGAACCCCTCTGGGACCACTCTCTTCTAGGTAAGGAAAAACAGATGAACAAAAAAGACTATGGCTGTTGTTTAATCTTCAGGCTGATACAGACTTGGTAGTTTTGGATACAGTCACAAGTTTAGTAATTTAATTTCATCCAGACTCAGTATTTTAATTCTGTGTGACTTACTAGGAGGCTGCCCCATACGCTAGGCTTGTTTTTATTGCTTGTTTTTAGTGTTAAAGAACTGACTCAGTTTCCATAACTAACTGTCAGATTGTTAATGTAAGCAAGCCTCGCTGTAAGTTTGTTCGTTTGGGTTTTTTTAACAGAATTACAATTTTAGTTTCTAACTGCCATCTACTGCATTTTAAAACTGTTTGCAAAGAAAATTATCAAATACCTGCTACCATTTTATTGAACAGAGATGACAATTATGTATTTAGTTTGATAATGTGCAAGCAGAATTCATGATGGGGACATCCATGGGTTTAAACTATTCTGTCTGTAAAGTTACGGCATTTCTGCTGGTGCAGATCTCTTATTACTTGCCCTGTAGACTGAGATTTGCTCATCGCTCCTCTCCACCAGAAGAAACATTCATGTTTAATAGATTGTTTAGAGAGTCTCCCTAAGAGGGCATCCAGCCGCTGCTTCTCCATTAACTACACCTGAAGTTTGCTTTTAAATTCTGTCCCTGTTTAACAGAAGCTTTATAAAAGATCATCAGAACTGCTTTGGGTTGTAACTGTACTTGCCAGAAGGCAGAGGTGCCCTCCTGTGGGCAGTGTGTGTTATGGCCTCTTTAGAGGAAGGTCACTGTCTTTCACAGTTCAGAAGTTAAAACACATCAGCTGCTGCTTTCATTTTTGAATACAGAAGTGCCCCAGCGTCTCCTAATCACTCTGGAGTGTTGTCTGCGCACTCCAGTGGCGTCCAGACCCCCGAGAGTCTGTCCAGGGAAGGATCTCCAGTCCCAATGGAACCTGAGCCTAGTGCTATCCAGCCAAAACTAGCGGTAATACAAGAAGCGCGATTTGCACAGAGTGCCCCAGGTGAGGAATCCTGAAAATAAGCATTTGGGGGTTGGAGGTGGGAGAGGGCTAATGTGTAACTATTACCAAGACATCATATGTACACCAAAAAAAAGGTAAATATTTAATCTCTTAACATTTAGAGCAAATCTTTGATAAACATGTAAACATGCCAGGTGAATTCTGTTTGCATACGTACAGAGTGTTAATCTGTGTGCTGTTCCAGCACCCTTGATCACCTTGTTACTAAGCAGAGATTGTGCTTCTGTCCTGTAGGACTGTACTGTCTTGTAACAGTTGCCACTTCCTTTCAAAATGTATTCTTTCTGGTTTAGAAAAAAAAACCCAAAACGTAAGATTTTAAAACTATGGAATACAAGAAATAAGCAAATGTCTTGCGTGCATCTGTGGTCATGTCATCCTTTCGAAGGTGGGGATAAAAAATTGGAAGGATAAAGAGAGAAAGAATAGATTTGTGTGATAAGAATTTTCCTGCTAAAAAAAAAAGCATAAGGCATGATGGGATAAGGATCTATTTGTTTAATTACCTGAGCTCATACACTTTTGCCATCCATTTTCTCGGTGATATTCTGGTACTGCAGAAGTGCCGGTGACCATTCTGTGGCAAAGGCAAATGCAGTCTTAAGCAGAGACATGAGGCTTTCCCCAGCGACGGAAGCTGAGAGTTTTGCCAATGCAGGCATGCCCCACACAAAACCTGAAGCACATACGTGTGCCTGTCTATGGACAGGAGTTTTAGTAAATGAGTATTAAACGTGGCTTTGGTAGTATAGCTGTGCGTTGGGGTGAGGGCTTTTGCCCAAATGGTGTGTGGGTCTTACTGAGCTAATGCAGCACTTTCCTTGAATATGTGGCTTGGCATAGCCATGTGTCATAATCTTCATTGTCCGGTTTTCTCTTTTGGATCATGCAGGCATTAGTGAAGGAGGTCCTTAATCCTCTGAGGCTTTAGTGTTAAGTTCAAAAGAATGACTGGCTTAAAAGAAATAACTAAAATTGGCAGCCTAATTTTTCTCTTTCTTGGTAGGATCACCTCTATCTAGCCAACCAGTTTTAATTACTGTACAACGGCAGCTACCACAAACTATTAAACCTGTCACCTACACTGTTGCAACTCCTGTGACAACATCGACATCCCAGCAGCCTGTAGTTCAGACAGTGCATGTTGTCCACCAGATACCAGCTGTGTCTGTCACAAATGTGACTGGATTAGCACCAGCAAACACTTACACTGTAGCTGGACAGGCAGTAGTCACGCAAGCTGCGATGGTAACCCAGCCCAAGGTAGAACCTCAAGAGAATGGAGACCACAAGGAAGTAAAAGGTGAGAACCTGCGGGGTTAGTTTTCTTGCTAGCTCTTTATACAGAAGGATTATTCTTTGAAACTTACTTCCAGATGAACACTTGAAATGTTTGGCTAAAATTGAAGATTTTGCATCATTATTTCTCAGATATGTTGGGGCTAGTAGTAAACTGGTATACTTCTTCGCAGAGGGTTGATTGAGTAAAAACAAATGTTTTTTTAACACTTCCTTGTTTTTAACAGTGTTTTATCTTCTGTTTTTCAGTTAAAGTGGAGCCTATACCTGCTATTAGCCATGCTACAATAGGAGCTGCTAGTCGTATCATTCAGACATCTCAGACCACACCCTTACAGACAGTTACTATAGTGCAACAGGCACCTCTAGGTCAACACCAGCTACCAATAAAAACTGTAACGCAGAACGGAACGCACATAGTCCCTATCACAACTGCGATACAAGGACAGGGCAATGCTGGTATGTATTGTGGCAGGATGTTCTGTTGCTTTGTACATGTTAAAACCTGAAAGTGACCAGTGCTGAATTTTTGAATTCTGTTCTCGTGTCTTTCGTAGTTATACTGAAACTAAGTTCTACAAAAAATTTAGATTACAGCCTTGTAAGGGATTGTTCCCTCCCTGTTGCTAAGAACCAGTGTTTCTCCTCATTGATGATTACCTGAACAGCTATTTATTCTCTTTGTGGTCATTATAGGGATGTACTTAGTGGTGACAACCCGTCCTCTCTCCTCATTAAACCCAGGATATAAACAAGTTTTAAAAGAAGTTCCTGTAAAACAGTGCCATTAAAATGGTAACTGCTCCCCAGATGATTTGTCAAGAACCAACCAACAGGAAAACAGGACAGAACTTGCTTGTGGGTTGGCTTTTTGAACTGTTACTTTTTATTCTGTTTTTATTGAACCTGTACTAAAAATGACAAAGATTCTGTAAGATTTTGAGATTCTTCTTGTCTGAATACCATCTTTCCCCTCTCAGACTCAGCAATCTGAGTCGGTAGCAGTAGATTTTTGTAATTTTCGTATATTCACTCTTGTTCACAGAACATTCAGTTTTGGTTTGCTTTGCAGGTGCATACAGCTTGTTTTAACAGTTTCACTTTGAGATGTTATCTGATACTGAGGTAGCTTTTTTGTCATAAAATATGTTTATGGAAATAGTTTTAGGCTATCTTACATGACTTTATTACATGCATTTCTGCTCTAAAGTCTTTCTAATGGAGAGAATTATCTGCTTTGTTTCCTTTTTTACTCTACTTCCATCACTGACATTTATAGGTCAGTGTTCTGTCTGCTTCCACTTCATTTCCAGCTTAAGTAAAGCAAAAGCAATCACTGTCAGACTTCATATGCACTTTTTTTGTCAGAAGGGATGTATGAATTGAGCTGAGAGTCATGTGAAATATACCAAAAAGTTATTTTTAAAAGTAAGAAATAATTCCTTTTGTCTTTTACCTAGACTCTGAAAACTCAACTGATTTCAACATGTCCCTTGGTAGCTGGTAGGCATTTTTAAGAAATGTGTCTGAGCGTAGGACTAGAATTGCAGTGCTTCTCACTATTTCACTGTGATAGGGGTGCACTTGCAGTGATGGGAGTTTTCACTCTGAGATTCCTGGGCTTAAATACCTCATGAGGTGTTCACATTTTGAACAGCAAAGTGAGGTGTATTCCAGGTCCTGGTCTCTCTGGTACAGCAACTCCTAAACCAGCAAGAAACCAGGTAATTCTCGTGCCAGCAAAAATGGGTAGACGTGGCACTTTGGGACATGGTTTAGTGGGCACGGTGGTGTTGGGTTGATGGTTGGACTGATGATCTTAGAGATCCTTTCCAATCTTAATGATTCCTAGTTTTTACTTTCATTAAAAAATAATCCAGCCACCAAGCCAGGAAACATGAAATTGCTACCATACCCTTAATTGGTTTAGTGGTGGACTTGGTAGCGTTAGGTTAATGGTTGGACTGGATGATCTTAAAGGTCTTTTCCAACCTAAACGATTCTATGATTCTATGATTTACACACACATATTTATGTGCATGTGTTTATCTCTCTTTGGAGAAGGAAGATTTGTGCAATCTGAAAGCTAATCCAGAGCAACTACTGTTCTTCTAACATTTTTCTATTTGTAGTAAGAAGGTGCTTTCAGATCTTACTCTCAGCAAAAAAGTTTGGCAGCGCTTTTTACTACCTGTCAGTCTAACTGAAAGCTGTGAAGTCCAGCATAAATTCAAGTCTCTTACTGCAGAATAAAATTATGTAACTAGATACTCTTTATTTTGATTTTTGGTGTAGATTTCAATCATCATTGTTCTTTTGTGTATTTCATACTTCCACGTATCAGTTGTGGCTGCAGCCAGCAAGTCTCTTTCTACTAAACAGGCCCCGGAGTGAATAATGGACTAATAGTCTTAATGCGTGTTTGAAGATGAGGGGTAAACTTCTTGTTTTTATTTAAGCAATAATAAATTTGCAGTAAGGCGTTTTATTCAGAAGTAACTATCTCTATGGCACCTATTCAGAAATTGTACAAGGAATAGCTTTTCTAATAGAAGGTGAATGACTGTTGAGATATACGAACAAATAATTTTACAGTGCAGTGAAGCTTTTTGTATCAGATAAATATTTTCTGAATTACTTGTTCTACCCGTAAATACTAAGTACAGAACAGCTTGGTTACATGCAGAGGTGATATTCCAGGTATTCTCTAGGATAGCCTACTAGGAACAAATATAACAAGTTCAGCAAATAAGAATTCCTTACGGACTTCATGTTTAATCTCAGCAAAGGGGTGGTGCTGAAGAAAGGGAGCTTGGGGTGGTGGTGGTGGTGGGTGTTAAAAAAAAAAAAAAAGGTGGTTTGATAACATTTAGATAAATTTTCATGAAGTGCAATGAACAACTAAATATATAATTAATATTTTGCATTATTTGCAAAGACATTTGAATAGTGGTCTGGGTCGATATTGAGAAACAGGCTGCTAACAAGTAGAGGGAAGGAACTTTTGGATGTCTCGGAAGGTTTAAAGCACTGTACTTGCCCATTAGTGATGACTTGTACTATCTCTTCCATGGAATGAGACAGATTAAAATCTTGTGTAGGATGTTTGAACTGTATACATTTCTGTTGATCTAATTCAGTTGTGCACTTGAATCTAACGAAATATGTCCTTTCTTAATACTGCTACTTGTTAAAGCACTGCCTTTTCCTTACATTCTGGGTAAATGCCTCATTATCTGTGAAAGACGAATTGCTGCTTGAGTCATCTGCATCTCATGGCTGTGTGAATTGCCTAGCTTTTCTTAAATAACGTACGGCCACGGATGAGTATGTCATGGTGGTGCTCTCCTTCCAGGCCAGCTAATGCATTCTGCAGTGATTCGTAGACATAGACATGGCCAGGCCTACTGAAAAGGGATTTTGAATTTGCTTCCCAGTTCTGTCACAAATTATGGTGTAGATTGGCTTTCATTCCCCACTGGCAAAATGGAGATACTTCCCCGTTCTCCCACCTTTGTCCAAATCTGCATGAATGTTGAGTGATTTGGGAAAATGGCTTTCAGGTTTGTACAAAGATTAAACAATTGGGCCTGAATCTCAACTGGGATTGCTAATACCCCAGGTAGTACAAATAAAGGAATTAATCATTTTAATGAAAATCAGTATCATCTGTTTTGACAAAGACGAGGGTGCTGAAGTTTTTATTATCTTTTTACAGCTGCTGCGAGTCCTTTGCATATGTTAGCAACCCATGCATCCGCATCGGCATCTCTTCCAACAAAGCGCCAGAACGGAGACCAGTCAGAACAGCAGGAACTCAAACGTATCAAAACAGAAGATGGAGAGAGCATAGTCATAGCTGTTAACGTGGACACCCCACCTGTGGCAGTGAGTGATAAAGGCAGCCAGAACTAGAAACTTAGGGGAGTTTTCTTTTTTTTTTTTTAAAAAAAATAAACTCCATGGTGCCAAAAGGAGACACTTAAGTATAACACCTAAAATGTTGGAACATGTTCTCACGCAGTGGGGAAAGGGGCCCTGTGATCAGACTTCAACTTTCAGCACTGAAAAAAAACCAACACAGGTGGCCTTAAAACTCAGTAATTTAAAGTCAAACTGCAAAACATCTTGTTCCAGAGGCTGTGACCCCCGCTCCTCCCTGCCCCCTACTGAACTGTGTACACTGAGAAATACAGTGTTGGGGAGGGCTGCAGCTTTAAAAAAATCTTTATCAGATTATTTTAAGGACTGAGTATCTCAGTGTAACGGCAGCATGATAAGCGCTTAGTGTGAACTGGTTTCAAACGATTGTATATTCCTTAAAGGGAACAGAGGCAAGGAGCCATTTCCTACATCTTGGCAGCTAGCCTTTCATAACGACCTACCCGATGCAGCTGTTGGTAGATATGCAGTATTTTGTTGTTCACATGTGGAATTAGAAATTTTTGAGGTGTATTTTCATTTATTTGCAAAATAATGGGGTCTTTGACATTTCAAATCACTCCATTTCTACTCCGGAAACTTTGGAATCACACAATACTTTTCATGTGAAATTTTGTTTGGTAAAAAACTGAATGTAGGGTTTTTTTAACCAATGGAATGATTTACTTTTGTCTGTCCTGTTAAAGTTCAGATAAAGCTACTTTATTACATCTGCAAATTTTCATATTTTAGCAGTTGCGTGATAAATTTAATCAAATTTTATTACCATGTGTAGTGATCAAATGCTTCTTTGGGCTTGCATGTAACTGATTAGAAATTACGATGTAAATGAGCCGTTAACTGACGTAAAGAACTGCTATGAATTTGACCAGAGCTGCACTTATCTGTTTCTCTTTCTGCTACCTTTTGCTGTTTGTTACTTTGTGTTGACTTTGACTGTCTCTGGCATATTTTTCCAGTCTAAAGTAAAACAAGAGTCTCGCTTAATATTGTGTATGTTTAAGATAACAGACTGTTCTTCATTTAGAAAGATAAAATTCTTTATCACAAGTCCTTTTAAAAAGAGAGTAAAATTATCTTGTCAGAGGTATATTCGATATTTTTAAGCTTAAGCACCCATCAGTAGAAATTAATCTGACCAGTTTCTCCGTAACACTTTTGATGTCATACACTGACCTTTTGGGGTCTCCATTAAGAGTAGCTGTTGTGGTTTTCTAACAGTGGCTACCATATTATTCTAATAATTTCTTTTTTTTAAGTGTGTGTTCTGCAGTTGAACATTTTAAAATGTATCGGTAATTTCTCACTTTAATTGTGGTAATAGATTCCACTTTACATTTCAAAATTAAATTTAAACGTAAGGCTGCTGTTCAGTCTTTAATTCACATAACGTCTTATTTCCTCATGCAGTGAGTGAAAGCTAGATAGTTGGCTTAATTTGAATCTGATTTTTGTCATTTTCTGTAATAATGATGCATTATTTATATTTCCTTTTCCACTATGAAAGGAAAAACTGTATTTTCATGATGGACTGAACAGTTTGGAGTGTTTATTTAGGCAGCTTTTGGGAACTATTTACCTAAAGACCAAATACGAGAAATCTGTACAAGTTTTGTGTTCATTCACAAAATGGAACTGTTACAATGTCTCTGCAGATAATACATATTAAAAAACTATGAAAAAAAAAAACTCTACACAAGCTGAATTTATAACAGGCATTTAAAAAAAAAGCATAACCTGAAGAGAAACATTTCTGTAAAATTGCAACATTTTCTTTAGAGGTTTTAAAAATAAAAGAAGTAAAGTTTTAACATAACTTTTTAAAGAAAAAAATCCAGTACTAGTAATTTAATTTGGTGTTGAATGAATTGACTAGAATGTGGTTTATTTTCAGAAGTGAGAATCTGTTCACAACTAGGGCTAGGTGAATAATAGTGTATAAGATTTTTTAAATAAAATTAAATTTTATTCAGCAAATTAACTAAGTTGAAATTACTCAACAAGTGTGTTTGAAGTATTTATGTATATTTTGGGGTGATTAATCCAATTTATGTTGGCAGTGCCAAAGGAAATGGTATCAGGCCAAAGAAGCCAAGGCGGTCCTTGCTATCAGTAAACGGTAGGCAAGCTGTATGCGAAGCCCTCCTGGGTAGAGCGGGAGATGAGAATACGGTCTGGGTCCTGATTCTGTAACACGGTTACAGAAATTCTACGCTTTTTGGTGCATGTGGAATTTGGCACAATTACGCACCTTCGTTCAGCTGGATAAACCCTTTGAAAAAGCTGTGCGATGTGAGAAAACTGCTTACGTTCTGACAAAAATAACATATGCTTATCCGTGCTTTTGGTGATGCTGAAGGATGCTCATACGGGATAATCTCCAGTGCTTTTGACTGACACGGACTTCTCTGCCTTACGTGTCAGGCCTTGCTAAATTGTGTCGTTGGGTTGTTGAAACAAAACTGTTCCCTGGTTTGTCTGTGTATTTATGTGCCTCCCACTATTAACACAGCGATGGTTACCATGTAATAGCAAAGGCTGAATGAGACTCCTGTCACGCTGCTGCTCCTGAGGGGATGCTCGTGACCTTTCTTAAATTGGTCTTACGTGCTGATCATCCTGGACTCCCACGGTCAGTGTGATCTTTCTTTTGCAAATGGAAAATCTTCAGGCGATTCACGTGCATAGAGGTTTGACCTCTCTTTAGGAACTGATGTACCCTTTCCAGTTACCTTTTGTGTTTTATGATGACTGGGACTGTTTCCTTTTGTGCTCCTTCTAGGCTGCCTGTTCAGTGTTCTTTTTGTTAAGAGTCAGCTTTTGTGTAATCTTTAAAATGACTTTGAAAAAGACTCGGAATTCTGACATGTGGAAGACCTAAGTGTGCGTTTGCTTCTAGCGGCAGAAGCGTTCGCTTCCACTGCCAGCGTGTTCTGTCCTTGCGTGAGACCCCTCTCCCTGTCCCTACGCCAGCTTTGGTTTTGATCCAGCTGCACGTGGCAGTGGCCCCACATCCCGGCAGGTCTGGGGAGGCGGCAGCACGGTCTCCTGGGCAGTGGGATATCCTTGCCTTTGAACACGACAGTTCTGCCTTCCTGCTGCCCGTTGTAACAGCAGCTGTAGGGTATTGCGTGATCCAGCAAAGTGACGCGGTCTTCAAAACAGAGAGGGGACTGCGGATGAGCGGCGTGAAAGACCAGTTCTTTTTGACGGGTGTGGTTAGTCTCAATTCTGAGCTGCTCTCTGCCCCCGGCCCACATTGCAACGCCTTTACCACAGTGGTAGCAGTCTTCATTATGGCATTTCTAACTGGGCTGATTGAGGTAAATACCTGTACCGTGCTAATTCCAAAAGACAGAAAAGCACTTCTGCTTCATAAACCACTTCACGGTACAGATTGCTGTACAGCAGGCCAAACTGGGAAAATTTTGCCTTTACTTGCCTGGTTGTTCCAATACAGGTTCATTTTAAAATGTCGGGTTTTATAATCACTTAAATCCAAAAGTGAAACTTGATTGTTTCAACAGTCTATGCTCGCATCTATGTTTTGTATTTTGATGTAATATCCCCCAAAAGGTAAATTTTGAGTGGTTGGTGGTCATTAATGCAACAATAAGTTTGAGTTGTGATTTTATATCGTTGATATTTTATATGTGTGTGTGTGAGATAGATATTTATCTTAAAAATCTATTTTTTTTATATAGCTATATATCTCATTTACACTAAATTGAGTGCTTTCTACTAACCTGTTTGACCCCTTTCTATAAGTGTATTTTATATATGTGTGTGTGTGTGATAGATATTTATCTTAAAAATCTATTTTTTTATATAGCTATATATCTCATTTACACTAAATTGAGTGCTTTCTACTAACCTGTTTGACCCCTTTCTATAAGTGTGTCTTGACTATATAGTCTAACATTCTTGCTAAGAATCCTACATTGTGTCTGACACAAAATTAATTGACAAAGGGAATGTCTGAAGTTAGTAAGTGCACGGGTTGCTTTTAACCATCAGGTGGTTCTTGACCTTATTTGTGGACTGGCAGGTGAAAACAAGCTTTACTCCTGCTTCTGCTTCTACTTGTTTTGTTCCCTATTAACCAAGCCAGACTTTGAATTATTTTTTGTGTCAAAGAGACTCATTCTTCTAGAAGTTGTGTTAGCATTTGGGGCTGATTTCAGGTAGGTAGCCAGGGATTTGCATTAGTTCAGTGATTTGACTTTAAAAAAAATGTTGGCTACAGATGTATTGATTTGGCACAGACTGCCATACTAACAGAAGGATTATTATTTTTTTTTAATAAGTTTAATGAGATGTGCGCTTTCTGGAATAATTTTCATTAATGTTGGTTTGGTTTCTGATCCTCTTTTTACGCATTAGTTATGTTCTCTTTGTTTCTCATCGGAGTTGGGGAAATGCTTTTGTCTAAAGTACTAGAAAAATGTACTAGAATGCTGGGTTGGGTTTTCATGTCAATACTTTCAAGAAGCATTGGGGAGAAATCAAAGGAGGGCTACGAAACTACTGTAAAGGGCTGGAATATCTGAAGCTGAAAGAGCATAACCTATTCCTTTAACAAAAAGAATGGACTATTGTGTGAAATTCCACAGGATCTCTTACAGACCAGAATAAACAGAGGCATCGGCTTGTTTAAACAAATACAACCTTTGGGGAAGAAGGGAAAAAAAAAAAAAAATGCTGTAAAATGGGGGCATTGAAATGGCTTAGTAAGAAAGAGGTAGATTCACCAGCGCGCAACTCCAAAACAAGACTTGTCTTTCTGAAGCGTGCGTTGTTCTGAGCCTTTGTATTTAGGTCAGCGGTGTCTGCCACAGTCCTTTCGGCCTCCATATGTAAGAACTAGTCTTGTGCCTTGCATTTGCTAACTTCACTGATTAATCTTGTGGTTTCTACTTTAATGACAATACTTAAAGGTTCTGAAAGACACACTTGTATTCTGTGGCTCCTGCTGGCAAGTACCTGGAATTACCATTGAATTTA